GTATTTTGTGGCTCTCCTGGCATTTGCACAGTGAAAATTGGGTGAATCTTTACTAAGAACTGAGGCACAGAAAATGCAAGGATTTGGTAAGTCTGTGAACCAATGTGATAATTTTTTTGTATCAGTGCAAAGTTCAGGAGAGCATTATACATGCAGCAGTTCAGATAACATTTTTGCTTTAATGCAGGGTTATTAACAAGTTTAGAAAGCCACTGACAACCTCTGATGTTCACCTTTGCTTCTTGGGATATGAAAGGGCTTGTATTTCTGAATTAAACATACCGATAAAARTGTTAGCTAAGTAATGTTTTTACCAAACTGTCTTTTCACTTCAGTTTATGCAGAGATATGAAGTACAAGACATTCCCATTCCCACTGCTCATTATTAGACACTTTAGTGAATTGTATGTTGCTTAATAACTCTAGTACTGTGTTTCAAGAAGTATTTAGTCAAGCCTTTCCACCCTTTCTATTTCTAGGCAAATATCCTTACACTTTTGCAGATTTGGGTTGAGCATTCAATGCAGAACCTCATTAGAGGGATTAACACAGAGCAGTCTGTCTGGATGGCTCCAGTGTGAGGCAGCTCAAAACCCCATTCCTGTGGCAGGTGCCTAAAGCAGACAAAGCTCCTGCTTGGCACTGTCTGGGACAGTCGTGTTTTGGTTGTGTGTTCTGTCTCTATCAGTTAAGGCAGAAATGAAGATACACGTGTCCCCCTAAGAGTAGCATTACAGTTCTGAATGTGATTCTCCTTTGGGAGAAAGAAGAACCTTTTTTTTCTCTCAGAAGGATTAATCATATTGAACTCCCACTTCTTCCCCCCCGATATTCTGATGCCAGAACTTCTGCTGAAGAAGCTTAAGCTCTAAAAGCTTTTATCTTCTTTCATCTACTTGACTCAGTGTTCACARTTCATCTATAAAAACAGTCTGGAATACCACAGATGAATTCCTTTAGAATTGTGGAAATGATGTATGGGACTAATTGTGAAAAATCATTGAGTCCAGTCAAGAAATCCCAATTCTTCACCAAACACACCACTAGTATCAGCATAAATGCTTATTTAAGAACATAACGATAACCATAATGGTGTTGATCCTGCTTGGTATTCTGACTCCAAACAGTAGCCCTAAGCAGAAATGAATAGTAAAACCAGTAAAAGCATGTATCTCTTCATGTTCTCCTAACCTTAAACTATTTGACTTCATACTTAAATTCATTAAATTAATTTTGTTACWTAAATCATTATATAAATTATTAACTTGTAAATTTAAAATAATCTATTAATTTTATTATGTCTCTTTTATAATGCCCACCAAATCTGTGTTTTAAGAACTTGTTCGGCCTCCCCTTGTCAAGTTCTTGCAGCCAGACCATTCTCCATCAAGGAGTTGTAGGTGTCACCCCTCATTGTTCTCTTTGAAATCRTGCTCTTGTTAATGTCATTTGATGGTCCATAGGTCTGTAGAAAGACAAGTGTGCAAAATCAGTTCTCATCCCTATCCACTCTTCTTATGTCATTTATGATTTTGTAAACCCCTGTGTTCTCATTAAGAAGGCTGAAGAACATTTCCAATTAGACYCTCCAGAGTTTTTGATCACATTTGTCTTCCTCTGAATATATTTTGGATCTAGTATGCCCTTTTCCAGCTGAAAGATCCAGAGTTGTTTATCTTACTCAAAATGATGGTGAATTGTGAGTTTTTGCAGTGGAGTAATGYTACCCACTTTATTTTCTTTGCTTTGCTTGTTTTCTTAACTGTTGTCAGCTGCTGTGATTCTCTATTAACCAGTCCATGAAGACTTTCCAAGATGACACTTAGCTTAGCATGACAGTTTTCACAGTGTTTACAGTAGAAGTAAGGAAGAGTCACTTTTTCAGTCATCCTAAAATATACTCTGTACCTTTCATTTTTTTCCTTTGAATTATTGAAACATTGCATCACAAGAAGAATATGAGTATTTTCTTTAAGGTGGGAAAAGTCCTTTGTTGAGTTGTGGGTTTTTTTTAAAGGAATTTGTTAAGCAAATGTTTGTAGTCCTTCTCTGGATATGGAATTATATAGACACAATGCTTGTATTTAGAAAAAATCTGTCTTTTGGTTTCCTTTTTTGGGCTTTCTGGATCTCAATTTTTACATCTTTGATAAAATAAGTTGTAGGTGATCCTGTTGGCAAAAGAAAGGATATTATGAATCATGTTTTGAGGGCAGTCAAATGTGCTCCATCCCTCTTTAAATCAGATAATGTAAAAGCATAGCACATAAGTAGCATCTTTCTCCATATTATCTCAGCAGCCAGCCATTGAATCTTTGGATCGGCTGATTTTCCTCTCTGACACTCAAACTTCTCTTAGTGCAGAGCTACCTTGTAGTGTTTGTTCTTAGAAAGGATTGTATCCAATGGGGAAGGCTAACAAACAGAACTTGGAATATTCAACATGCTTTTCCCGTGAACCCAAAATCATTTGGRAAATGATAGCAAGAAAATATGGGTTAAAGAGCAAATGTCTTTAGATAACAACTACACCTACAGATTAATGAAAGTTATAAAGATTTGTAAAATTCAGGTAATGCATACTTTTAGGGAATCACTGCTTTCAASAGTGTCTGCCCCAACTGATTTCTTGTCTCTCAACAAGAATTTTAGAGCTTCCAAAGAATTATTTTACACTKCTTTTTCCAAAATTATAATCCAAGCTATATGCTCTTCTACCTCATTTTTTTTTGACCAAGACTCTAAAGATGTAGAAGAAAGACTAGACCAAAACCTGTGCTCCTTTATAGAAGAACTAAAACTGTATCCTTGGACAAGAACTCTAAAAAGGTGTTTTTATTCACAGTACCACAGCTCAGCTGTCTGCCAGAAGTGAAGAATCTCGTTGATGAGAGTGCAGAATCAGTTGTAAAAGAATTTAGCCAATAAAATAATTCCTCCTCATTTTTACTTAATATTTACTTACATTTTTTTAGATCATATGAGTGTAATTTCTTAGCAKCCCTTATATATTCATCCTGATTTGCTAGACAGGCTATCATAAARATATTCATCTGTCTAAGGAAATTGTAAATTTCTGAAAGGTAACTCATAAATGCAGCATCCAAATATAACACAAATGTCAGTGATTTATTGAAAATAAGTCAGAAGAGGTCACTCTTAGAAGTATTTCTATTAGATTCTGTAGCCACTGATGAAAGATTATTAGTCCCCACTAGCTCTATCACTTGTGCTTTGTTCAGCCTAAAGGTTATGAGTGTTATGGTACCGTACAGGTGCACCATGAATAGTCTTTCACACAGAATGATTCTCATTTGTTAAATTTGGAAATGTACTTTCTCCTGGCCTTAATTTTCATGTAGTTCTTCATATTCTAAATGGCAGCTGAAGGCAAGCAGAAATAGCGAGTAATTGATTTAACAACCTAAGACAAGTACAGGGAAGTAGAAAAGTTTGTCTTAGTGCTTGATGTGACCTGAGAGAGCTTCTTTAGACTGTTTTTTTCTAACCAGTACCTCAGCACCTTGGGCCAGCCAAGTGGCCTTTAAGCCTGAATGAGCATGACTTTTTTTCTTTTTCTCAGTGCAAAGCTGCAGTATTTCATCTTTTCAAACTGTTTTACAGCACTCAGAGCAGAATTATATTGACAAGGTTAGAATTCATCTCCTAGAGGAGAATACYATGCTCCTGTTAAGTGCTAATATAACATTTATGTGTTGCTACTTTAATAATAGCYCCAGCCAGTCTAATGAAAGTACTGAAAGCAAACAGTACTCTGTGAGATTTTATTATGACTGAAGTGATTGCAATTTGAGACAAATTGTCCCTATTTCTGTTACCACATCAAAACCAGAAATGCTAAAGCAATTGCTACATGTTTGGGATAGAATTACACTCCACTATCGTTAATATAGAAGTAAGTGCATTTTTCATGTAAACAGCTCACAAGGGTCAAGCATCTAAGATATTCTGTGCAAAATTCTTGTCAATAACTTTGTGAGTGGATTTTGAAATAAAGTGCCTGGAACGTGTCATTATTTCTTCCTCTCAAAGTTGAGAGCGAGTGGTTGAAAATTGAGCTTGTGAATTGAAGGTACTGCGAGTTATATGGCCTTATCGACTTCAGACAAAATGACAGGTTTGCCTTGTTATTATTTTTCCTTTCAGAGGTCAGGCAGTGGACAATATTAGCAGTACATACTGGAGTGTAAGTAAATTGAAAAAAAATTACTATCTGTATACAGAAAAAAGATGGTGTAAGTCATGAATATTAAAAATGCTTAATATACTGTCTCTTCGTAAAAATTGGGGGAAAAGTAAGACAAAAATCTACTGGTCAAAATAAGCATTTCAACTGTTCAGGTACTTGAAAGCTTTTTAAAACCATCAGAAGAAAAGGAACTCACTTTATCAGATTTAGCTGACCAAGTTAATTACACATGCTGGTTAATGTGAAAACAATTTAAATATATGTTCTCAATGAGGTCTGATATTCAAAAAACACATTSTATCTTCTGAGAGGGTTTGTTCAAAATAGTTCTGCTGTTCAGAACTATCTGAACTATATTTTTGCTGTATCCGAACTGAATCTTTAGTACTTCAACTTCTAAAATAAGACATATGTACTTTACTGACTCATGTCATTAAACTCTGTAGTTTTGRTAGTTCCTACCATTTTTAATTCTTCAGAAACTATTGGTATATCTAAAAGTTACCATATGCAAAAAGGCTTACTTTGATTGCAGAATGAGTGTAAAAATCATTATGAACAGCCTTTTTTTTTAATGGTACAGGCATAATAGTGTTTTCAGATTGCAAAAATGAGGAGATACTGCTAGATAAATTCATAATTGTTCAAAATGACTTTTCAATAAGAAAAGTTGAGGGAAAAAGCAGTTTCCATTAAATAACAGGACTGCATTTTGTATATTTTARCTGAATACGAGCAGCATTAATTTCTACAACTCTGTAATATGGACGATATTTTGTTTATCTTTTAGGTTGAAGATTCAGAGATGTATCATGATGAAACTTCAGTATGTGGGTTGCTTGCTGTGGTTGTAATATCTCACCTACCCAGAGATGCTGCCATTGAATGGCATGTTGTTGCAGTAGTTGATGATCCACTCCAAAGAAAACATTTTGCAATGAAGATGTTGTCAGAGGGCTTCCAAATTGAGTGTGAATSTGTGGAGTCTTGTTCTGTATCTTGTGCATCAATCTCATTACGCCTGAGCTTGATTTCACCATCCACTTCTCACCTTGATTTAGACGGGCYTCTTCATGACTTAGTTGCTATGTTTAAACAAGCTGTTGACAAACTTTCAGAAGACTGCAGTGCAAGTCCTTTGTCCTTTAGAACTTTCTTCAAGGAGCATGTCTTTGATGCTGAAACACTGCAAAAAGGTAAGACCTCAACAGAAAACAGGTGTAATATTAAGCATATGGTAATTTTTGTTTACTTCTACATCAGATTTCATTGGAAAAAAAGACATTTTAGAAGAACATTTCAAGGATATGTGGCCAAGAAGGCCAATGGCATCCAGACCTGTATCAGAAATACTGTGGCCAATAGGACCAGGCAGTGATTGTCCCCCTGTACTCAGCGCTTGTGAGGCCATGCCTCGRGTCCTGTGTCCAGTTTTGGGACCCTCGCTGCAACAAAGACATTGAGGTGCTGGAGCATGTCCAGAGAAGGACAACAGAGCTGGGGAAGGGTCTAGAGAGGACAGGCTGAGGGAACTGGGGTTTTGTAGCCTGGAGAAAGAGAGACTCAAAAGAGACCTTATCARTCTCTACAACTGCCTGAAAGGAGGTAGYAACCAGKTGGGGGTCAGTCTTTTCTCCCAGGTAACAAGTGACAGAACGAGAGGAAATAGCTTCAGGTTGGGGAGGCTTAGATTGAATATTAGGAATAATTTCTTCACCAAAAGGGTTATCAAGCGYTGGAACAGACTGCCCAGGGAAATGATAGAGCTACCATCACTTGAGGTATTCAAAAGATGTGTAATAGACTTGATGCTTAGGGACATGGTTTAGTGGTAGACYCGACAGTGTTAGGTTTACAGCTGGACTCAATGTTGTTGGAAGCCTTTTCCAACCCAAACAATTTTTCTGTTCTATAATTAAGATACATTTGTTCTTTTACTGGTTACTAGGCACGTTTCTCATATTTGAAAGGCTCTGTTCTTGATTTTTTGAAGTCCAAACCAAATAAAGTTTGGGATTATTTTGTTCTAATCTCACATTTGACTTTGGGTAGGAGGTTGGATTATATGATCTCGTATTAATCTGAGTTATTCTATGATTCCATACAAGAGAAGTTGCTGAGAAATCCAGCTTCTTTAGGATTCAATATAGAGAGAATGAATCTTTTGCATGAAAGTGAACAGTTGTTCATTTGGTAGCCGCTTTTTGTCACAGTCTAGAACTGTGTTATTTGAATTTCTGTCTGCTAGCAGGAAGTCTCTTGAAAATAAGCAATGAAATATTAATGTTTCAAACTAAGGATGGTGTTGTATCCTCTGGATTAGATGGTGTCTAGTTTTGAATGTGGGCTGATTTCTAACTAACTTATTTAAATAGAACTTGCTATCTTAAAAAAATTCGCTGGGTTTCCCCCAATGTTAYTTTTTCTAAATCTCATTCCCTTAACAAGTAAAGAGAATACAGAGCAATAAATGTAATGTTACAACTACAGTTTATTTCTTACATTGTAGATCTGCATTTTGGGCTATGCTTGATATGGGACAMCTATTATGCAAGAGCACAAAAGTATATTTTATCGGTCAGGCCTACAAAACTGATAGACCATACTTGTATTGAAATCAGTAAGAGCTTTGTTATCAATTTGAGAAGGAACAAAATCAGATCCTTAGTCTAAATTTATCTCAAACATACATGCACTTTAAAAATCCTTGCAGACCACAACTGATCCATATTAATTAGCTGACATAAATGTTAGCCCTCAAATATTCTACTGTCCTATTTTTTTTCTTAACCTGCAGCAGTTTTTGAAGAAAATTCAACTTGACATTGTTTAATAGATTTAAAGTACAGGAATTGAAAGCTATAAAAATGTGGCATAGAATAAGCATATTTAATCCAGAAAGCAAGGAATGAACATATAGTCTGACAGAATGTTGTTGTTTTTACTACATCTTGTTTAAGAGCTAAAAGRAAACCTGATAAAACATGTTCCTGGCATGGGATTAACATTACTGTTTCTCCTGCTTTCTTTCTGGTGTTTCTTAGGCCATAGAATAATTGCTTCCAAACAAAATTAATTTGCTTTATAAAATATATTGCTCAATATAATGTATAAATTGAGCAAGTAAAAATTTGTTTCAGTTCCATTCATTTTATACTACCAATAGCATAGACATAGAAAGATTTGTGTGATTGTCATATATTCATTCTTGTTGTGTTCAGATCTCTGCACTGTCATAATAATTCCTGTCATTATACTAATTTTATCATTATCCCCACTGGTAAGAAATACATCCTTGAAAATCTGTAGAATATATAGAATACATTAAATTTACAAGGAGCACTAATTCATTGATGAAGAATTTTTAAATAAAATTTTTCTTCTTAGTAAAAAATTCTAGAAAGTTCATGCAACAGAAGAATAATTGTGATACATATTCAAAAATAACTTCTCAAATTAAAATGGTTTTTGCTGAAGTGTGTCTTGTTGGTATTTTCTATCTAATAGAAGACTTTTATATATAAATAGATATATAAATATGTACACACACTTTTTCTGGTTCAGCATCAGAAGTCTAATTATTAATGTATTGTTAAGACACAGGGACATATTCAAGTGTACTGGTAATATGTGTTCTTGGAGCTTGGAAAGACATGCAGTCTCCAGTGATGCATCATCAGCTTTCAAAACAGTACTGAAAGGTGTCCTTGACCATCTTTTGGACTATTAGTATAATTCTACTTCTCATAATGTAAAATATACTCACACATATATATTAGCTCCTAGTTTAAAAAGTGTTGTGTGAAATGTCCAGTTTGTTCACATTAATTTCAGTATCCCATTGACAGTGTCCTTAAGCAAGATGACATAATTTGTGTTTTATCTTCTCTGTTATTATTGGCAGGCAGAATTTTCATTTTGACAGGCAGAACTACTACAACTGTATGTGTCTTTTAGTGTGCTCCACAGTTTTAATATACCAGAGATAGTACCAGGTCATCCTTTTGAATCCCAAAACATTTTAACCTTCCTGTAACACCAGATCAAGGTATTAGAGATTGTTAGGTTCTGATAACAATCGCTCCTTCCAATTTCTCACGTAGTTCCTTCAGTTTATTCCTGTTCCTTCAATAGCTCCTTCCAGCCTATTCCTATTTTCCTCTTGAACCCGTCCTGCTTCTAGAAATTGTATCTGAATGGCGCAGATCAAAGAGGGAACAGTACTGGTCTCCACACTAGCAGTGATTTGTGTCTTGACAGCTCTGGGCATGTCCAAAACTTGCTTATACCTGTCTCTGTAGATATGTCCTAAGATATTTTCAGTATATGGATGTCTCAGTGCTGATTTCTGATACCTCCGAAGGTTACTTTCTGTTGCAGAGTAGATCTAGATGGGTATCAGAATTTATTTATTCTACTGCCTTTCAGACACGGAATATCATTTTACCGTGACACAGGATAAAGCAGAAATGTAATGATCTTCATTTGTAAATCTGAAAGCCTAATACATGGACTTTTAAAAAGTTTTGTTTCCTTGATGTGGCTGCCAGAAAGCAAATTATATTGAGAGACCAGTTTTTCAATTGCTGTCTATTAATTCAGTTCGGGTAGTAGAGGTTGCTAACCATCTGTATGATGATCCATTAGTGACACGTTTGATCTCTGACTTGTGTTAAACATTGTTAATCCCACCAGTAGATCTATCCTGTTGGAGTCTTCAACTGCCATCAGATGCATTGTCTGCTGAAGAAAAATAATAATGTAGCAGGGAATAATAGACACTTCTCTTTAAATATTTTTAATGTGAAACACATAAGAAAGATGTAATAGAAAAGGCAGAAATTATGATGTCTCAGAAATCAAGAAAGATGGTTGAGGTGATAGCTGTTCCAGGTTAGTGGATTTCAGGTGGACTTCCATCATGTCATAGGATTAGTAAAAAGTCTTCAATAACTCTTGTAAGATCTTGAATTGAAATGTATTACCTCTTCTAGCAAAAGCACAGAAAATAAATAAAGGTACCATTTTTCTGATTAGAACTTAAAATCATTGGAGTGAAAGGAGGAAATATTGCCACAGGCCTTCTCAAATGAGCCTTTGATTAGATGATACAGGGTTTTTTTGTGTAAATAAGTTGTCATTTATTTTAAATTGTCCATATATATTATAGAAATGCGTTGTTACCTGACACAGTAAGATGAGAACCAGGAATATATCTGCTTGGCATATTGTAACAGGTTATTGGAAATTATTACAGCCGGTGTTACGGATGTCAAAAGAAGCTAAAGGTTTGTAATGCAAATTGGAGACAGATAGCTTTCTGTCATCCTAAGAACAGATGTGAAGTTTTATTGAACAAAGTGTAGTACTGATGGTGAACTTCTCAGAGGCAATCCCTCATAACATGTGAGAGCATTATGGGCCCCGTGCTGAGACCACAGAACGTATTAGAAGTAGGAGGATTAGATTAAGCTGACATATATACTTAGTAAGATGCTGTTAAGCCTTTAGAAGTCTTTTACATAAATTTGACTATTTCTTCCTTATTCTCATTCAAATCTGCATTAATATAAACGTGTCAGGATGATTTGCTATACCATGCAGTTGACTAGATTATACTTCCGTATAGGAATGATGAATGTTTATAAGTCATCACATTATGATTTCACAAGCCTTGCTCACAAGATGTATGCAAAATATTTTTGAATATTTATTTGGGAGTAGAAAAGGTCCTGCATTCACCAGAACACCATATTACACAATCCCTTTTTAATATTAAAGAAAAAATGGACTGGGAATATAAAAAGGCAAAGAAAACAGGAATGGACAGTCTGGTAACMTTAAAATGAATATATAATTAGTTTTAAAAGTGGCTCTGCTCTGTAAGTGTTTAGGTCTAAAAGGCCTTTAGTACTTTTGCATGTATCAGGTTTCAATGGCACTATATATTTGTTAAAAAATCTAATATGGGCTGAGTACAGTTTACCTCGACTGCAAGAAATCTTACTTTTAATGGGACTGTTTCTTATGCTGCAAGAGAAACCCTGGTGGTTATGCACTTATTTAGAATCCTTGCAAGTACAGAGAAACATCCTGACACATGTATAGCATGAAGCTTTGAAACTAAAGAATTTACATCTGGTAAGATTTAAAGTATTCTGTTTGAGAAAACATGGCATTATGGCCACATTTTCCA